ACAATCCTATGAGATGATTGTGTGGGAATCCCAGTGGAGCTCCCACGATCAAAGCGGTTGCTGGATCAGTACCACAGTGTTCATTCCAGAGCTCTCCTTGGTATGTGTGCTCATGTAAACCAATAACAAAGGCTCCCAAACTGGCACCAGTCATTAACTGCTCAAAGAGGGTGTGGACCTCGGTTGCCCCGTGTGCTTTCAGCAAGATGCTTTGCTTCAGCTGAATTGTTAGATCTAGTTTCTCTGGATCTCTTTTCACCAGATGCTGGGGAGATGCAAGGTGAAAATGGAAACCTTACCTTACCAGGGAGGGAGATTCTTTTGAAAAATGTTGCTGTTGAGGATTCTGCTCCCTCATTTTCCTTTTTCCCTGTTTTCCTTGCTACGTAGAACCACAATTGGCCAAGGATAAGTCAAGGCTAAGGGGGAAAGGATCAAGAAATGCAGCTCTACAGGGGAGTGCTCGGAGTTCCAGAATGGCCTGTAATGACAGCAGAACCAGCCTGGGCATTGCTTTCCAGCCCACCATCCATGCACATGCCCCATTCTCCACCACTGTCCCAACCCCTCAGGAGGTCTTCCCCATACTACTCCACCCTTTCCCAGCTCCTACCAGGAGCTCTGGGAGCTTGTTTCCCTGCCCCTCTCCCCCGGTCCCCCAGCCCCCCAGCACACATTTATCTGGCCAGGAGTTCTGTCCGTTGGTGTTATATAGCAATAAGAATTGCAGACACTGGGCCACTACCTGGTTCAGGCAAGCTCAGACTGGAGGGAGGTAGAAACATCAGCATCATCATAGGCGACATATTCAATCTCCCATTGAAATATTGCAAAATTCTTCTCTGTCAGAGTAGGAGACTTCATAAAATTGTCTTTAAATGAATCCAGGAAGAGCAAGCCCGAGCAGGTCTGGCTTAGTAATTGGAATATGTACACAGGGGCCAAACCCTGAGAGAGACGGTGCAGCAGCTACTCCTCTCATCATAATTCCACCCTACAGAAGTCTTGTCTGTGCTCCAACGTGGAGCAGGTGCCTTGCCACACAGGCAGATAACAAGAAAGCGCACATGGAAAAGACAAAAGGAGACAGAGAGAACTATCCTACTGCATGCATCCAGCCACTGAGGGCAGAACAAGGGCTTGCACACCCGTCCCAACCCCCTGCAAACAGCTCACGTTGTCCGCTTATTCCAGATGCTCTGCAGTAATTCTCATTATCTTCAAAGGGAAAAAAAATCCCCACTAATGAGGCTGTTAAAAATACAGACTGTCAAAGAGGCCGGTGAGAGGCAGGCTTGTGATCTGATTGGCTGGCGGGAGCCTGGAGCCGGAACGCACTTCGCAGCTACTGATGTGGAAGCCACACTGGTTAATTAACATGTACAAATATGTTTTTAACAGAAAATTACATTCTATAATAGCAATAAGGCACCAGAGACCATGAATTACCCTGCATTACTTCATACCAGGCTGCGCTGAAAGCACTTGACCCTAGGTCTTGTGCTTTACTGTACACAATGTATAAATTAATGGACAATAATTCACACCCCGTCATGATTTCAAGCCAAATTATTGCACAGTCCCATTCCAGTGCGCTCTGGCTCCTGTTAGGTGTGGCGGGGAATGGGCAGGTTTATGAGAGTTCAGCTGTAGATGTTCAAGGCAGCTCACGGGGAGTGAGACTGAGAATTCAGACACATCCAGGTAGTGGCAAGGTGTCGTGGCTGGTGAGCTAGATATCTGGGTGGTACCTGAACATGTAGGATGTTCTTGGGGATCTCACGCCAATTGGCAAGAGAGCTGAGAGCCACATCTCCTCAGAGAGCAGGAGAAGTCAGCTTGGTATACAGGAGGCACACATGGTATCTTGCCATAAAGGGCAGTGACTGTTCCTGTCATTGTAAGCTAGGTCAGAAAAGTTTCCCTCTTGTCCCCTCCACTGAATGTCCTCAGATATCTGCGTCACTGTCCAACAGCCAGGGCCTCAGGCCAGCTGGGAGGGTTGGAGCTGTCAAGCCAATGGGTGACGTCTAGTGGAGGACTGTCCTTGTGCTTTTCCATCTCTCTCTCTAATCGTGGATGTCCGAGTGCCCAGGCTGCACCCAATGACTCCTGATGGCAGTGAGCTCTGAGGGTTTCTCCATCCTCTCCTCTTTCCATTAGACCCATTTGACTGTTTTATGGCCTGATTACTCACCTCTGTCCCATTCATCCCACATTTAGCAAGTGGCACTTCCAAAGCTAGGTAACAAGTGAAAACTCCTTAACACGATGAGTGCACTCTGCATTACCCACCTGGCCAAACTTCTCTCGGTATCCTAGCCCTTCAGGTCTCCCCTCTCGGTGCATTTTAGTGATGGTCTCTCAGAACTCGTGGGCGCATCCCCATGAGCAGGAATATGCATTTCCCTGGGGACAAATAGCAGCAGCACATATTTGTACCACTGATAGTTGTCCCTGGGCATGCCTCTGCGTGTATACTCTGGTGTGTGGCAAATTGCCCTAGGTGGGGAAAGGGAGGCTGGGGCCAGCACCTGGGCTGGCCCCAGCAGCCTTATCACTTACCAGAGGCCCGGGGGAGAGGGGGTGGTCTCCTGGGGCAGCAGCAATGGTGATCTGGGGATGCAGAGCCTGACTAGCAGCTGGAGTATGGCTCTAGCCAGCCAGGTTCTGGTTTCAGGCAGCACACGCTGCAGCCATGTGTGCTGCCCCACTTTTATCCCATAGGTTTTTTTATACTGGGATTCCCATAGGTTTTTTATACTGGGATTTTCCAGTATCTAATTTTGCCACCGCACTGCAAATATGCAGCATTGTGAACTGAACGATGAGCACCATGTGCATTTTGTGCCACTTCAAAAGGCTTTGAGGTACCACAAACGGGATGTTCCCACTCATCTGAATGCTCCCCATCAGTTTTTCACATGATTTGTTAAAGTGATGCTCAAAAGTCAAAGGTCTGTTTGTGGAAAGATATCTTTGCATTGTCCAGTCATTAAGATCCATTTCTATAGGGATGCTCAAAGGTTCCAATCAGGACCAAAACCCTATTGTGTTGGGCACTTTACAAATGTATATGGGGATGCAGTCCCTGTCATTTAGAGCTGACCAATGTCATTTCAACTAAATGATGAATGAGAAGGAGCAAAGGGGCTGAGGATATTTGGGTTTTGTGGTTACACAAGGACAACACTGCTGGTTTCTGCTGGCAGCTGGTGCCAGCTCATTTGAAATCAGAAAGAAACTTTAAAGGGAAGTATAATGAGGGTTACTATCCCTGTGTTAAAAACAGAGAAAATAAAGACCCTTGAGGGGAAAAGACTTGTCTTCCATTGCACTGTAAGTCTATGCCAGGCTGAAAGCCAAACCTCCTGACTTGCCACCACATCATCTGCAAGCATTTCTTGTAGGACTGTATCAGTTAGAGGGCAGTAGCCATCTTAGAAAGCTGTTTCCTGACCTATGAACTCAGGCATCCTTGTTACCTGGCTATGCAGAGGTTTGACATTTTCCATGAGTCTTTGGCTTAGGCCAGGCTAGAGGTCCTCTCTGTATTAATGAGCCCAGACACCAGGCTGTCAACTGGAATTACAGAGGTGCTTTCTGACAAGGTTTGGCCTCCTGCTGTGGATGAAGCCTGTCTCCATTGAGGGCAGAGTTGGAGTGTGAGTCCTCAGCAATAATTCACAGCAGCTAGCATGGCTCAGCAATGAGCCTGTCTGCTGCATGTGACACTTGCTGCAATGGTTTTCTTTCATCAGTTTGGCACCTGCCTCACACTCATAACTTTTATTTCCATCTTTATGAGATAAGCACTTTCCATCAGTGCAGCACTGCAGTGCTGGTTAGGACTGCTAGGTTTTAAATCCACAAGGGCAGTGTATTGCATGGCTGCTCTTGTCTGCCAGCCCTCCCTCCACCCTTCACTACACGTTTCAACATCCTGGAGGTTGAGGCATAAAACAGACAAGGTTGTGACAGTGTCTTGTTATGGGATAAGATTTCTCCTCTGATGGGCTGAGGAAGTAGAACTGGAGGCAGGACCATTAATGTCCCCCATGCAACACACCCAGTGAAGCAAGAAGTGTAGCGAGAAGAAAACCCCATTCCAGGTAAAGTGACTCCTCCCACCTGCCTGCCCTACCACCAAAGTCATGGTGGGGCTCAGAAAAAGAAATCAGAGCAGAGGATATTTTTCAAATGAGTTTAGTGCCATTGACAGGAGCCAGCTTGAAAGTCCTACGTGCTTGCAAGGTGGGCAGTGTTCCTCCTCTCAGGATGCCCCATCTCCAAGGCTCCCTTCCGATCTGGAGATGCGAGCCATCTGAGTGGAGTTTCAGTCTCCACAGTGACCTCTGTCTTCTGGATCTTTTCTGAGCTCGCCAATAAGGCTGCTACTTCATCCCAGTTGTGGCCTTGGACACTAAGAACCAAACATAAGACCACCCACTTGTCTCATATATGTCACTGAATGGGTGCCTGTAGATGTGCAGGATGCCTCCAATGTGCTGTAATTACAGTGCATCAGAGCAGACTTGATTAATCAAGTTTGTTGGAGCATGCTAATTAGCATGCCTCAGCAGCCTCGGTGTATTGTGGATTTAGCGTCCACATGCTTCGAAATGGTGGCAGGGATGCTTTAACTAAAGCTTATCAAATGAGCTTTAGTTAAAGCACCCCTGCTGCCATTTTGAAGCATGGGACACTAAACAGAAGAGACGCTGTGGGCGCTTTAATTAGAGTGGCTCCTGAGAGCCTCTCTAATTTAAGCACCCACCCCTGGAGCACATGTAAAGGCGCTCAAATGGCCCACCATCCACAGCAAAACCTTCAGCCCTGATCTTCAGCCTGACTGATCATGCCACAATGTCCATTGTGACATCACAACTCTGACCACAGGATACCGCTGCTATTATTGTCCCACGCGGCCCTCAGCCATTGGAAGGTGAACTCCAGCCACCTTTGGGAGCTTGGTCCTTCTCTGAGGAGTGAGGTGCACCATGGGGACACAAACAAGTAAAGCTCCTGTATGGATTGCATTCCTCACTGATACACCGCGGTTTACCTGCTAAGGGAGAAAAATCTCACCCCAGAAATGAACACTCGCAAAGCTCAGATCCCCTTACCGGACATGGTGTCCTCTTCTCCACCCGCACAGTCCAGGAGAGGACAATCTCTTTGGTACAGGATGTCGTGGGTTCTGGATGCAGCTGGGGTAATGAAGGTAGAGGGAGAAGCCTCATACTGAAGAAGCATGGGAATAATGCCCTCCAGGAGAGGGCAGTTCACTCGGGACTGAGCACAGCATGACTCCACTCCCTCCCTCTAAGAAAGGAGATGTCTTGTTCAGAAATGGGTTCTGCTGGGGGAGCGTGGAACATAACAGCACCTGTCTTAGATCTCCCTCATTCCCTTCAGCAAGCCAGCACTATATTCCTCTCACCCCTGCTTCTGTCCAACATACCTGTGGGCACACACACGCAGCACACACGCAGCTGATGCAGTGATGCAGCAGTTGATCTCTACACTTGCTAAAGGGTTGTTTCCTCTAGAGCAAGGCGAGGCTACAGGGAGCTATTCTAGGACCTCCTAATGCCAGCCCTGGGGCCTAGAATCAGAGCTTCCTGTGGGATACGATCTGGCTGACTGCAAAAATACTGACCCCGGTGATGACAAGGGCACTAATGAATAAACTGGCAATGAAAACAGCTGCAGCTGCCACACGATCTGTTGACTTTCCTTGGCTACTCCATCTCCAGCTCATATCCATGTAACTTTGTTGCTTGGGTTGTCTGGATAATCACAGCATGAGCTGAAGAGGAAAAGGCAATGGAGCAGCTGTATCTTCATCTTCAGACCCAGGAACTTTCTCCCTTCCTTAGGCTCAGCACCTCTTTACTTCCCTTTCTTTGTAGGTAGATGTAAAGGCCCTCAAGGACATCTCCAAAAAGAAGGATCCTAAAGAGAAGCCTGACATCCAAGCACTTGCAGGGGGGGATGGTGCTCAGAAAGAGTCCTCAGCTACTGCATCCCCCCCAGAGCAGCTGGGCTGTCTGGATCAGGGAGCTGTTACTGGGGTGAGTGCCCTCCCCTCACACGTGGGGTTTCTTTGACTTCAAAGGCCAGAGATGCACCCTACCCCGAGATGTCTGGGGCCAGCTCCCAGTGGTAACACTGGGGGTTGTGTGCACTTTAGCCAGCATGGAAAGACCCTAATATGTCTCATCATAATACTTTTTAAGCTACCCAGGCGCTGGAAGCCATATGTGATATGGAGACCCCAGCCTCCCCCGTGGCAATAGGGGGAAGATCTGAATAACCAGTTGCTAAATGTGTAGTGTGTCAGGAACAGTTTTCCCTGCATCACACACAGGGACCTCCCTCTTTCTTTGATGCAGTCACCTTCTACCCGAGCTTTCTCTCTCCATTTCCGCTCCTCACACTGCAGAATGGAAGGGCTCTGGTGAGGTCATTTGAGCCTTTCTTTCAGGCCTATTTGTTATGCAGGTGCAGTGGGTCTAGATCCACCAGAAAACTACACAAGCCCCCCTCAATAGTTAGAGAAAGGCTTTCATTCAAGGAGCTCTTCACCCCCAAGTCAAGATATTGCACTTTGCTGAGGAACTACAGTGTATCACACCCCTCCACCCAACCAGTCACAGCACCACACTGAGATTGTTTTATTTTTTGAGCCCATCAAGATGGTATTTCATGCCTGTTTAATGCTCCCCCAAAACAGGAGGTCCCGTAGTTCCCTGGCAACAAGGAGGTGCCTGCTCTGCAGAGCCATGATTAGTTGTAGGGTTGATCTCACTGCCATACTTTTAAACAGGCCTGGATATATCTCTATTTGGATGCCTAGTTCTGGACAAAAAGATGTTCAACAAGTATGACCTGTGGGACTGTGTGCGTGTATCTTATCACCTTGTAGTGGTCCCAAAGAAGATAGCAGCTTACTACTCCCACTGACCAACAGAGTCCTTCCTCTAACATAGGTGATAGAAGCCTGCATGTTAGGTCAGAAGGCCCCTTGCTGATGACCCATAGCTGGGGTATGAAATACCCATAGTGGTGACAGGTTAAAACTGAAGTTGCTTCCCATGTTTGAGTATTGACTTATTGAGGATCTGGACAATATTCAGGGACAGCTTTTGTCTCAGAGCAATGGCCAGGTCTTTGTCTTCTATTCACAGGAGGAAGCGACTGCACCTGCAGAGCCTCCTGCTGACAAGAAGGACCCCAGAGACCAATCCGCCAT